TGTCTCTATCTCTCCCTATTCTTTTGTTTTTGGCCAGTAGTAGCACAGAATCCACCAGCACCCTGTTGTCCAACAACACAGGAAGCTGCGTTTGTTGATTTGGCCAAGATTTTACGCGGGATGTCCTTCCTGTCACAATCCTCCCCATTTATCCAGGCTTGAGACCAACACTAGGAGCACTGGCTTGTGACTGGGTTGCACTCTTTTCAAGTTGCCTTTGTCTTAATAAACCTATTAATTAATTTATTACATAACTATAAAGAGCTCACTCATTTACTGATAGTCTGCAGAGATTAAGTGCCTTAACTGTTACAGTAATTCTGGACTTCTAGACCAAACAGTGACACAAAAAGGATTTTTCTGAATCAGGATGACAGCATTTTTAACCTTCCTACACACTGAGTATGTACTCAGCTCATCCCTAAAATTATAATGAGTGCACCAGCAGCTGAAATAACAGTTACAGTTATTTTAATGCGGGGAATGCTTTATAAAGACTATCATAAGACATTTATTACTATTATTGTACTGTTATTATAAACTATAGAGAATTTGGGAAATTTTTTGATTCAAATTAAATGCACTGTATCAGTGATTTAACTGATCAACAAAGTAACTTTGATCGTTTGTGTGAATAGTGTGATTTTGTTTGGCTTGTTTGGATTTGGTAACCGTTACCGTGTCTGAGTGAGTGATGATAGCATGACGGGAGCACACACCGCACCCAGGCTGAGAGTGCTGTGGTCATACCGCATCAATAAAACGCGTGTTAGGAGCCAAATGCTGCTTTGGATAAAGGCGCTCATTAGTTCGCCGGTCTGCCGTCCAATAATCGAATCGATGCTGACACTGAAGCAACGATTAAGCAGCAATGAGCGCCAAAACATAGCATTTAGCTAAAAAACACATACAGATACATAAAGCTCCACCTCCTAGCACATCACGATTCCCACCCGAAGCCACGGCCGAAACATCGGACAAGGTGCTGGAGGCAGTTTTCCCCGACAACACAAGCCAAAACAGCACAAACGTGTCCGATAATGGGCGTAGATACATTAGCTCCATAAGCTAACTAGCTCAGTGGTCAACCAAGCCAACGAATCTGAAACTTAATTTACTTTCAACACCAAAAACGTTTAAACGCATCATAAGAAGAAACCAAACAAAACCACCTGGGCTGTCTGATATTTAAATTTTCGCCAACAAATAAAATTTACACCGTGTCACCGGGCGAAGAGCAGCTAACTGCTACAGGCAAATTGTTGGCTAGTTTTAAGTTCAGACAGAAATACGTCCCGAATTTTTATACTTCGAATTTAGGAACACAGCAGGTGTATGAGTATGAACTCACCTAAAGCAACAAAAAAAGTCTTCTCTGATTAGCGGAGTTACCCTGCAAACAGACACACAGCTGTGATGATGACGAGGAGGAGGAGGAGGAGGATGACGATGACAGCTACATCGCTGTGTGTTACCACGCCAACCGACAGGGGGAGCAACATACCACATGCATTACGCACCACCGGAGACTTTCTCTAAACTTCCGGTTTCGTGATGTAACAGAAATGTTGAATTTCGTGGGTTTTTATCATATTTTCATTTTTATTAAATATGTTGGAATTAGTTCGATTTTAGACTCGCAAAATACCTTTATGTGGGTTTGCCACAAGGCTACTAATCCACTTTACGGCACCTGCCATTTTGATTTCAGGCATGAAGCCAGCAGCTGCCGGGACTGTGCCCTTAACCAACCCAATCAGCATGCAGTCTAAATATAATAAAATAAATAAATGAATAAAAAAGAAGACTCGCCCAACCAAAGTGTGGGGTTTTATATGTAGAACCAGATGTAATATATTTTAGCCGTTTAGCTCTATTCAATAAGTGTTATGTCACGTGAGCCCCCTGAATTATACCCTGTTTCTTAACAATGAGATATGTCAGCTCTGAACACACACACACACACACACACACACACAGCTTTCCTAACAGATGCTCGTGCTTTTCCGTCTGGTAGAAACCCCAGCACACACACACACACACACACATATCTATGCACATTTTCTATGTGAATGCATGAATGAAGTGTTATCTGACCTGTGTGAGCATTATTACATGCCTGCATGTCTGTCTGTCTGTGTGTGGCACCCCTGTGGCCTCAGCTCCATATGCTGCTGCTTGTTAGCCAAACCCAAACCCTGTGGGGGCACTGCTGCCTCAGCCAACAGTTGTCTGAGGCCAGTTTACCCTGTATCCATCCTCCTGTGCGTTCTTTTCTGCTCTGTGGAGTGTGTGTGGCTTCCAAGGTCTTTATGAGTAGCATTCTAGGATTATTAGGTAATAGGAAACTGAGTCTTTAGAGGGGATTTGTAAGAGGAAACACAACACAACTACGGTTTCCAGTTTGCATAATTGAGGGTGTATGCTTTGACTGGCTAGTGGGTAAAGACCACACAGACCACAGATTAAATTTAGGAAGCCCTGAGATTCTTGGTGTTTCAGAACTGAATGTGAAAAGCAAGGGATGGATCTCACTGTGAAATTGCACACTCAGTGGCTAATGGCTTGTGATT